AGCCCCAACAGGAGGTGTTATGGGGTCAGGGATTGGTGGGAGCTGCCAGCAGGGCCCTGATGATGGGTTTATGGGGTTTATGGGGTTTATGGGATGGGCTTTGCCCCTGGCTCCAAACTCTGCATAGAAAATTCAGGTTCAAAGAGGGGTCAAAATCCCCCTGCTCGCTCTGATTAAGTCTCAACCATCACATTTTGGGGCAGATCTTCATAAAGATGTTTGATTTCCCCAGAGACCCTCTGCAATGGAGCACCAGGGGCAAACCTGCCCCAAGCCCAACGCTTCATTCTCCCCATCAGTTTATCCCAAGCCACAATTGCAGGAGCACCTGGGAAGGACCTCAAGACTCAGTTCCTCAGGGTTGTTGTGGTTTCCCACCACACCCAGGGCTGGATAAAGCCACAAGTGGACAAGGGGGTTGTACTCTGCTAATTGTCACAGCTGATAAACACTGGCACTCAGCTCCTGTGGGGTTGGGGACAGACAGAGGCCTGGCACTCAGCTCCTGTGGGGTTGGGGACAGAGAGAGGCCTGTCACTCAGCTCCTGTGGGGCTGATGACAGAGAGAGGCCTGGCACTCAGCTCCTGTGGGGTTGGGGACAGAGAGAGGCCTGGCACTCAGCTCCTGTGGGGCTGGGGACAGGGGCCTGGAACACAGCTTCGGTGGGGCTGGGGACAGATAGAGGCCTGACACACAGTTCCTGTGGGGTTGGGGATAGAGGCCTGGCACTCAGCTTATGTGGGGCTGATGACAGAGAGAGGCCTGGCACACAGCTCCTGTGGGGTTGAGGACAGAGAGAGGCCTGGCACACACCTCCTGTGGGGTTGAGGACAGAGCCCAGGCACTCAGCTCCTGTGGGGCTGGGGACAGACAGAAGCCTGGCACTCAGCTCATGTAGGATCCTGTCCTTGTGCAAATGTTGGCTGGTCCTCAGTCCCCTCCAGCCAGGCAACTCCAGGGGATGTTCCCATGAGTGTTCCCAGCTTGATCCCATCCCACATGCTCGGGCCATGTGGGAGTCACAGCCCTGCACTGACACCAACAGTGAAAATCAGCTGCACCATGCTCTACAGAGACAAAAATTGCTGCTGTGCCATGTTAGTAAAGCAGCTGGAGTGTTTTAAGACACACACAGATGTGGCATTTGGGGCCATGGGTTAGTGGCCAGGTGCTGGGGGGAGGTTGGACTTGTAGAGCTCTTTTCCAGCTCAGGTTCCACCCTCACCAGTCTCACTGGCTGGACTCTCCCTGCCTCCATGTCCCTCTACCCAAGCAGAGAACAGGGCTCTTGTGCCAAGGCAGGTGTCTGACCCAGCAGGACACGTTTTTGGGAAGTGCTGGGCAGGACCCCAGTGCTGAGGGGACATAAAGGCTCTGAAGCCATCCCTGGCAGCCAGGGAGCAGAGCAACACCACTGCAGGCAGCCACAGGAGCAAAAACACATTCCCCACAGGAATCCACAGCCCAATCTGCTCCAGGCTCAGGTCCAAGGGCAGGAGAAGCTTTTCTCTCTGAGCTGCCCCAACAAGACCAACCCAGAGTTGGGGTTAAACCACGATGGATGCTGAGATCTGCAGCTCATTCCCAAAGCAGCTCCCTCCCCTGATTTCCACAGCTTGCACAGACACCAGTACCTGTCCCAGGATCTGACAGATGGCCATCTGAGAGTCGGGCTCAGAACCAAGCTCATCTCAATTTGCAGAGCTGCCAACATCCCAGTACCAGAACAAACAGCCTCAGCAGGAGATAAATCAGGACCCAGGCAAGAGGAGCCTCTGCGGCTCCCAAGGGATTTTGGCTGGAGGCTGCTTCACCCTCTGATCACCTCTGGTCACCTCTGGTCATCTCTGGTCACCTCTGGTCACCTTTGGACACCTCTGGTCATCTCTGGTCACCTCTGGTCATCTCTGGTCATCTCTGATCATCTCTGGCCATCTCTGGTCACCTCTGGTCACCTCTGGACACTTCTGGCCATCTCTGGTCACCTCTGGTCATCTCTGGCCATCTCTGGTCACCTCTGGACACCTCTGGTCATCTCTGGTCACCTCTGGACACTTCTAGACACCTCTGGTCATCTCTGATCACCTCTGGTCACTGCTGGACACCTCTGGTCATCTCTGGACACCTCTGGTCACCCTCTGGTCATCAAAGGTCACCTCTGGCCATCCCTGGCCATCTCTGGTCACCTCTGATCACCTCTGGCCATCTCTGGTCACCTCTGGTCATCTCTGGTCACCTCTGGACACCTCTGGTCACCCAAGGCCAGCCCTGACCTCCCAGGACAGCTTCCCACCGTCTGTCCCACACCCAAGCAGGACATGGGCACTGAGGTTCCCCTTCCCAAAAGGTCTCAAGCACCTCTGGAGCCCCTCTGGACAGCAGATCCAGATTTCTTCAGGTGCAGCATCATTCCAGCAACATGGGGGTGAGTGACCCATGCACAGCTTCTGTTTTAAATTGTGAAAGGCACTCTGAAATTTTCAGGGGAGACCCCAGAACACCCCAAGAAGCATCACCACAGTGCCCTTTGAAAGAGCTGCTGTGCCACCACACAAGGACAGAAATCTCCTGGGATGGGATTTGCGAGTGCGTGAAAGCAGCTCTGGATCCTCAGCTCTCAGAGCTGCTCCACTTCTCCTGGCTTCAGTGGGACCAGATTCAAATGCCTCAGCTGAAGCCTGGCTCCAGCATTTGCTGAGGAGGAAAATCAGCTCTGGTTTCATCTGTCTCCTCCATCCCTCCAGATCAGCATTCCCCCTCCCAGTCTGGAGTGGGACTAAGCCTCTCTCCCCTCTCCACATTAACAGGAAAAGGCACTTCCAGGGAAAAAACATCAGGCATTTCCAGCAGATATTTGATGGCACCCCAAGGATGAGCAGAACTGTTCCTCTCTGCCCTCTTTCTGAGGCTGAGCAGCAATGCCAAAGGGAATCCTTGATTTCCCAGGAGGAAACAACCAACTTGCTCTTACTACTGATAAATGTGATTGCACCCAAACACCTCCCTGTGTCCCATCAAAAGGAACAAACCCTTCAAAGCTCCTGGGGAGCAGCTCAGAGATGCAGCACATCATCCCTGCTCCTGCCTGGTCCCAGCTCCCTGTGAGCAACGGGCAGCACTTGGTTCCAGGGAGGTAGAAGTAGGTCAGCTCTGCAGCTACAGCATCCCACACCAGCCTGGACACACAAAACCCTGCACAGCTGGGAACCTGAGCTGTGCCCTAAGAGTTATCCCACCAATCCAGGGTGCAGCTGTGTTTTGGGGCTCTGGATTTATCCTTTCTGGGGCTGGAGTGCTGAGGGATGGGCAAAGGAGCAGAGAACTCTGATACCACTGTTGGGAAAGATGAAACAGGAAAGCCTTATAAATATGATTGCCTGGCAAAAGATTTTGAGAATATAGAAACTATAAGCGAGATTGAAATGAAAGCAAGCTTTGAGATCCCTCAGTTACTGAACAACTGGAAAACAATGGCATGGCCAGCTGAAGGTGATTCCCTTTAGATGAAACAACACCCTCTGCTTGCAGACAGGCCCAAGGGTCAGAGCAGACCCTACAGCTTGGCAGAAGGGGCCCAAAGAGGAGTTTTTAGGGTTTAAAATGTAACCCAGTGTGGTAATGTAATGATTCTTATAGGCTGTATGTAAATGCTGTAAGATTTATATCTGGTTCTAGATGGGTTAGTGAGAATCAGAATATTCAGCACAGAAGATTTATGGTATTGTAATGGGAACCTCGCTGTCTTACCCCTTTTACTCCCTTACCCTTTTACTCTCTCACCCTCTCATCCTCTCTGCCCCTCTCTTCTCTCAGTCCTGCTCCAGCTGTGGCTGGCAGCTCCCAGCAGGGCCCTGCACCCAGGCCCTTTGCAATAACCCACAAGTTCCCAGCCCTGGCTGCAGAGATCTCTCATCTCCATCCATCTCCCCGGTGCTCCTACAGACCAGGTTGAAGAAGATTTTGTTTTGTCATGGGAAGAAGAGTTTTGTGTTTTCCTGACTCATCTCCCCCTCAGTTTCCTATGGAAAACCTCAACACTTAGCACAGCTCCTGTTCCAAGCCCAGAGGAGCCTTTCTGGCAGCCCAGAGCTGCTGGCAAGGCAGCGCTGACACATCTCAGCTCCCCACGCTCGAACCCACCAAAAGCCACCACAGGGGAGAGCAGGGAAAAAGAGTCTGGGTTTTCTTTTTTTCCTACTGAAAACTGTTTGGTCACCTTCAGTCACCACCTCATCATGTCCCCAGGAGAGATGTCCCACACACAACATCCAGAAATGAGGGGTTGAAACCCAGGGAGAAGAGCTGCAGGGGGAGAGGTTGGAGCACTGTGCCCTCAGGGAGGGCAGTGCAGCCAGCACGGGGACACAGACCCCAAAGAGGGGTCACAGAACCCAAATGGAAATCACAGACCCCAAATGGGAGTCACAGACCCCAAATGGGAGTCACAGACCCCAAATGGAGGTCACAGACCCCAAATGAGAGTTACAGACCTCAAATAGGAGTTACAGACCTCAAATGGGAGTCACACACCCCAGATGGGAATCACAGACCCCAGATGGGGGTCACACACCCCAAATGGGAGTCACACACCCCAAATGAGAGTCACAGATCCCAAGCAGGAGTCACAGACCTCAGATAGGGGTCAGACCCCAAATGGGAATCACAGACTCCAAATGGGAGTCACAGACCTCAAATTGGGGTCACAGATCCCAAGCAGGAGTCACAGACCTCAAATGGGAGTCACAGAGCCCAAATGGAGGTCACAGACCCCAAACAGGGGTGTCTGGGGAGGAGAACACTGGGGAGGAGAACAAAAAATGTGGAGCCAGCACGGAGAGATGTGTTAGGTGGAGGTGAAGCAGATGGAGGGGCAGGAAGGTGTGGGTTTGGGGAGCAGAAGACAGCCAGGCAAATGGATGGACATGAACCAGTCTTGGGTCAGCCCAACAAATCTACACTCAGCCTCCAGGTGTCCTGCTCACACCTCCAACCATTTTACCTTTCTGGATGCCTCCATCCGCTGCACAGGAGAAGTCCCCCGTGGCCAGCAGGAAGCACGTGGAGGATTTCTTGTTCTTGTCGCGGGTGCTGGAGCGCCGCATCGGCCGCTGCTCCTCGTCCATGGGGGACAGCGGCTGCTCCTCGTCCGAAAGCACCACGTTGGCCTCCCCGTTCTGCTTGGAGTCTGCAGGGAGGGAGGGAGGTGCCACAGAGCCATCAGCAGCTGATAAATTGTGAGAGTCTGTCTGAATTTTCCCTCATCTGCCTCACAAGCGTCATTTGGGGACCACTGAAGAGAAGACCCCCCTGTCACAGACAACTTGTATGAAAAATCCTTTCCTTAGGATTTTTCCTCCTGAGAAGCTGAGAGGCCTTAGGAACTAAATGTAAACAATGGTTATCTGCTGCTATGGAATGCAACAGGTGCATCTGTGATTGGTCTCATGTGGTTGTTTCTAATTAATGGCCAGTCACAGTCAGCTGGCTCACACAGAGAGTCCGAGCCACAAACCTTTGTTATCATTCCTTCTTTTTCTATTCTTAGCTAGCCTTCTGATGAAATTCTTTCTTCTATTCTTTTAGTACAGTGTTAATATAATATATATCATAAAATAATAACTCAAGCCTGCTGAAACATGGAGTCAAATCCTCATCTCTTCCCTCAACCTGAAACCCCTGTGAACACTGTCACACCCCCCTGTCCTCTCTGTAGGAGAAAGTCACACACACCAAAGGCCCGAGACCTGAGCACAGTGCTAAGCTATTGTTCACAGGTGTTGTTTGCTGTATGCTTCACTGAGCCCAGTGAGAATAAGAAGGGGGCACCAAGGCCTTTTTGCAACAACAGCCTGGGAAGCTGTTCCACCTCTCAGCCTGGCTGGACTTCTCCTGAGTTTCAGGTGATCCCCCCACAGAAGACCCTCACCTGTTTTACAACCGCCATGACAGACAGACTGAGATGTAAGGAGCCTCTCCATCAAGGACTAAGACATGAAACCCCCATGTGAAAAGGCCCCTCTGCTCCTTCCAAGGACTGGGACTGAAACCCCCAGCCCAGGGGAGGTGTGTGAGGGAGGCAAGCTGACCAAAGCGAGATGTTTGCCTGCAGGTTGTGACCGCTGGACCAAGAAAACAATGGCTCTCATTTACTGCTGAGAACATGGACTACCTGTTACATCTATTCCTTATTGCATCTCTTTCCCCCTGCTTCGCAATTTCCAATAGAGTTATCATAATAAAAACCTCTGAGTTAGCTAGAGATTTTGAGATCTCCCCGACGTACCAGGTGGATCCTCGACTGGACCAAAGGACTTCATCTCTATGTTTGGTAGCTGTATCCCTCTCTCTCTCTCTCTCTCTCTTTCTCTGTCTTTTCTCTCTCTTTCTCCTTTTTTCCTCTCCCTTAATGCCTCTATCACATTTTGCTGTGGCCATTCAATAAAGCTGCATTTGTTTTGATTATCACTGCAAACCCCCTGTGCCGTGTCGGTTCTTTTTGCACCCTGAGATCAATCCACGAACCATCACAAACCCTGTTCATAAAGATGGATCATGACACAAACCCACAGCACAAACTGCTCAGGGTGGCCAGGAGGGGCTGGTCAGAGCATGCAAGAAGCAGAAGAGCATGCTGCAGGTGGCCCAAAGCAGCACCAGCCAGTTCAGGTGCTGATTTCACCTGGACACGCTCATTTAGCACAGCCAGGGGAGCAGGACTGTCACAGACATCTTTTATGAAAAATCCTTTCCTTAGGATTTTTCCTCCTGAGAAGCTGAGAGCCCTCAGGGACAAAATGTAACCAATGGTTATCTGCTGCTGTGGAATGCAACAGGTGCATCTGTGATTGGTCTGATGTGGTTGTTTCTAATTAATGGCCAATCACAGTCAGCTGGCTCGGACTCTCTGTCCAAGACAGAAGCTTTTGTTATCATTCCTTGTTTTTCTATTCTTAGCCAGCCTTCTGATGAAATCCTTTCTTCCATTATTTCAGTATAGTTTTAATGTAATATATATCATAAAATAATAAATCAAGCCTTGTGAAACATGGAGTCAGATCCTCGTTTCTTCCCATCCTCCTCAGACCCCTGTGAACACGGTCAAACAGGACAAACACAGATACGATTCCAAGCAGCTCCAGTCCTGCTCAGGGTTATAAAACCTGCTGGGGATGAAAACACCCCAGGTTTTGTGAGATCCACCCACCCTAATTGGAGGGAATTAGCTCTCCAAAATTCACACTGCTGAGGAACGGGCTGCTCGGGGTGGTGGGAAGTGCTAATTTATGTCCCCTGGCTCCCTGGTTCCTTGGCTGAGAGGATGCTCTGCCACGTGAGGGCCTGGCCTGGGCTCCTGGCTCTGGCTGCTCCCTGCTGCCAGGACTCCTGGGGTAGATGGGATTCACAGGCATGTGGAAAAAGGAGATTTATAAAGGGAAAGAGCTGTTTGGGGCACCTTGAAGCTCTCTGTTTCCTCAGCAGGGAAAACCCCATCACTGCTAAACACCTCAGTGTTGGTGCAGGACACAACCCCACCATGGTGCCTCCTGTTCCAGACACCCCAGAGGTGCCACTGGCAGCAAACCAAGACAAAAGGAGCAGAGCAGCCACCAGGGCCAGCACTGACAGTGGGACAGGGCTCACACAGACCCCCAAAGTTAGCCAGGGGATGGTGCCCACAGCTGCCCACAGCTGGGCTGTGCCTTCTGCTGATCCTAAGGAAAGACTGGCCAACCCCCAAACTTCAGCTCCGTGCATGAGACCAAGAAAAGAGAGAAATGTCCAGGGACTGGTTTTGCTCAGGATTTGGAGCAGCAGCACAGGGATTCTGTCTACCAGCAGATGAATGAGGAGGTGGGGTCAAGCCCCAGGGAATGTCCCTGGATTTATCAATTTTGGTGAAAGTTACCCTGATTTATGGTCGGAGAAAGCAAAGGAAAAATCTGTGCCAAGGGAATGACCAGGCTAACATGAGAGTAGGGCGAGTGGCCTTACCTCTTACTGTGAGGGAAGGGTGGGTTAGGCAGGGGCACCTTGAAAGCCACCACAGTGGCTTGATCTGTGCCATCAGGAGGGAAGGATATGGATTTTGGGAAAGCAGGTGGCCTTTCCCCCCTGCCTGGATGGGGGATTCGACCTGCAGTGTCCTGCTCCACCAGCATGGCCAACAACACCCTCACACCCCCCATCCAGAGCTGGGGGCCACACCTGCACCATCCTCAGGGACACAGGGACCAACAAACTGCCCTGAGAGCTCCTGGAGGTCTCCCCCTCCCTCAGCCCCACCTTTGGGGTCTCACCTGACCGTTTCCTCTCAGTCACCCCCTCCTCCACTGCCAGTGGGCACGTGTCGCTCTGGGTGCTGTTTCGGGGCGAGTTCTCCTCGGATTTGCCGTAGGTGGGTGAGTCCAGCTGGGCTGGACGGGGTATATGCTTTTTCTTCTTCTTTGGCAGCTTCTGCTTGGCCATGGCCAAGGAATAATACATCCCAAAGTTATTGACGATGACGGGCACCGGCATGGCGATGGTCAGCACCCCGGCCAGCGCGCACAAGGCGCCCACCACCATCCCCGACCAGGTCTTGGGGTACATGTCACCGTAACCCAGGGTGGTCATGGTGACCACGGCCCACCAGAAGCCGATGGGGATGTTCTTAAAGTGAGTGTGGTCGTTCCCGGTGGGGTCAGACGTCTTGGCTCCGATCCGCTCGGCGTAGTAGATCATGGTGGCGAAAATCAAGACCCCCAAGGCGAGGAAGATGATGAGGAGCAGGAATTCGTTGGTGCTGGCCCGCAGAGTGTGGCCCAGCACGCGCAGACCCACAAAGTGCCGCGTCAGCTTGAAGATCCGCAGGATGCGCACGAAGCGAACGACCCGCAGGAAACCCAGCACGTCCCGGGCAGCCTTGGAGGACAGGCCACTGAGACCCACCTCCAGGTAGAAGGGCAAGATGGCCACGAAGTCAATGATGTTAAGCAGGTTTTTAATGAAGAGAAGCTTGTCTGGGCAGCAGATGATGCGAACCAGGAACTCCAGGGTGAACCACAGCACGCAGACCCCTTCGATGTAGGTGAGGATGGGCTCCGTCTCCACCTTGTGGGTCAGCAGCACCGTGGTGGTGTTGCCCACCACCAGGGTCTCCGTCACGTTGACGTTGATGTTGAAGGCCTCATGTGTCTCCAGGCAGAAGGTTGTGATGGAGACCAGGATGAAGAAAAGTGAGGCGAAAGCAACCACCTGTGAATGTCAAAGTTACACGGGCTGTGAGCTAATGTGGGGCAGCCTGTTCTGTCTGGAGGAAGTCAAGACACTCCAGATGCTGCCACCCACTGCCCCAAGACCAAGGGTGGAGAATGAGGAGGGATCCCTGGACCTCTTCCATGGATTGACAGCAAACCTCAGTGCCTGGGGCCATCAGTCCAGGACCTTCTCCAAGTGCTCTGATCTGTGCAGGAGAAGGTGTGCTGGGCTCCCCAGCTGTGCAGTGGTGGGGATGAGGAGGAACTGGGACAGTCTGGGACTGGAGCAATCTTCCAATGGGAACAGACATGGAAAGGGAATTTTGACAGGACAAATTCAAAGGGCTTTCCTACACATTCATCACAAACACCTCCAGATGCCAGGTTCACACTGTTCACAGCCCTGAGCTTTGGGGTCTGGATGATGCCTCTGATGTGTCAGAGACATCATTCACCCCCTCCCTGAGGGTCAGTGGTGGGTGATGCGCCCACCACAGAAGGTCCAGGACCAAGGGAGGAGCAGGCAGAGCTCAGCCTTCTGCTGCTGCCTGCACCTGGTGACACCCAGATATTCCCATTTCTCCGCTCTGCCCAAGCAGGGAGATCGTTGTCCCCTCCATGTCATCTCCTCCCTTCTCCTCACCTCAGGTGTGAGTGGGGAGGGGCCAGCAGCAACACACTGGAAGTCACAGGTTGTGTCACAAAGTTCCCCCTTGTGCTCCCATCAGTCCTGCTCAGCTCCCTCCCTCCCTCCTGCGAGCCCATTACCTGGAGCATCTTTCCAAAAGTCACCCCCCCAAAAAAAACGAGCTTTGTCGCCATGATATTTTATGAAAAATCCTTTTGCCAGGATCTTTTCTCCTCAGAAGCTGAGAAGCTTCAGCTTCTCCATGTTTTGCTGCTTTGGAATGTGATCCGGAGAATTGTTTACCCAGCATGTGAAATCGTTTTTACTTGCTGACCAACGACAGCCACCTGTGTCGAGGCTGTGAGCAGCCAAAAGATTTTATTATCATTCTTTTTCATTCCTTGCTAGCCTTCTGATTAAATACTTTCTTTAGTATAGTTATAATATATCATTTTCTTTTAATGTTATATATATCATAAAATAATAAATCTGAAACAAGGAGTCAAGATTCTCCTCTCTTCCCTTGTCCCTGTGAATATCACCACACAGCTTCAAAGAAAAACTCTTGTTCCGCCTCCCTGCAGCACAAAATCCCGGTGGTTTCAGCTTCCCCAGAGCAGGTCCTGCTGCAGCCCCTTGCTGGACGTGACCTTTTGCTGTCAGAGCCACCCAAGCGGCCGCTCCTGGTGGAGCAGCACCGTGAGGCTGCTCCAGGCACAGCCCGGATCCTCGGCCGGAGTGAATCAGCAGCAGAGACAGCCTGAGTCACGCTGGAGGAACACCCGACCCCCGAGAGCAGCAGTGCCCTGCTGCAGCCCTGGGCCTGCCAGGAGTGTCCTTGGGGCTGTCCCCGAGGGCAGAGCCACATGGGGCCACCACGGACAGCGCCAGCCCTGCAGGAGTTGGGTGTGAAGTTTAAATGTGGCGTTAAATAATGAAGGAAACCTTTGGAAGATGGTTTTCCTACCCCAGTGAGAGACACCTGCTCGGGATGCAGAGAGATGCTCTCACTCCTCAGTCAGACCCTCTGGATTGTGCATGAGGATTTGGCTCTGAGGGCTGACCTGCCGTGTCCAACAAACAAATCCAACGAAATTGGGATCTTAAAGCAAGGCCAGCTTAAGCAGACAAGTGGCTCTACACAGTGGTGGCACAGCCAAAATAATCTGCTTTTCAGCTGAGGGCTGAGTCACGTTCCTGAGCTTCCCTGTATGGGGGATCTTGGGAAAACCTGAAGAGTAAAAATTTAGACTTAAAGCAAAGTAGAAAGAAAAAAAAAATCACCCAGGAAGGGAGGGAGGCCATGCAAACACTTGAGTAATGAAGCAGCCCTGCTGCTGGGTGTGAGGTGAGACCCAATTTAGGCCAAGGAGCAAAATCAGCCTTTAAAAATAGAAGTTGGGTTCACAGCCAGTGCCAACCATAGTGTCCCCCCAGAGTGCTGCTCCAGTTCTGTGTCTGATCCAAGACATCTCACCTCAGCCTCAGTGTCTGCTCCAAACTCAAGTTCTTTTCCAAAACTGTCTTTAAAATAAAACAAAATCAATGTATAAACCCAGTACTACCAATACACACCAAACAAGTCCTCCAGAACCTGCTGATGTTCTACACAATATTGAGCAGTGCTGCTCCAGTTCTGTGTCTGACCCAAGATGTCTCACCTCAGCCTCAGTGTCTGCTCCAAACTCAAGTCCTTTTCCAAAATTGCCTTTAAAATAAAATAAAATAAAACAAACTCTGTGTATAAACCCAGTACTTCCATTAGACACCAAACAAGTCCTCCAGAACCTTCTAATGTTCTACACAGTATTGACCTGCACTCAACAGCTTGCCAGAGGTGTCACCAAAAAATCCATGACCCTACAGAGGGTCACCAGCCTGAAAGTCCCCATGAAAGTGAGGTCAGGAGTCTCCAAGTTGGGCTGCAAAGGGAAAAACCAATGAGGAGCTGCACGTAAGGAGAGTTTGGACATGGAGGTAAAATCCCAGCCAGGGCAGTTTCCCATGGGGAGGAGAAGTGTAAAGCTCCAGCTGGGACAGCAGCTGCACCAGGGACCAAACACTCCCTGAGTGAGGAGCCAGGGGCCCCGTGGCCATCAATGGTACACGGAGAAGAGACTAAAACATGGGAGAGATTTCCAACCACACACTCACAGTGCTGCCAGCTCAGGAGGAGAGGTGCTGGAGGGAGGGAAAGATGGAAATAACGAGGAGCCAACTGAGTCAGGGCCCAAGGGGCTGCTCCATGGAGAGGAGGAGCGATGACCGACCGGAGAAATTCATCTCTGGAGACTCTTAGTCACGGCTGCCACACAGAGAGGGAGAGTTTACAAGGACAGCCTGGGACTGCTGCTTCCCAAGATCTGGCAACCTGCTGTCCAGCTGCTCCAGCACGTTCCCTGCAGCCAGCAGCACCCCTGGGGCTCTGGCTCAAAAGGGGGAGACCCCAAAATGGGATATCAAAGTCATCCCAACCACTGCTAACCTCACCCACCACCAAAGCCAGGGCAGCAGCAGGAATGTTGTACCCACACAAATCCTGCAGCATCCTGGTGCTGGATGGCGGCTCCAGCAAGGAACTGGGTGCACTCAGGAATTTGGGCTGGTTGCATTGCTCTGTGCCTCAGTTTCCCCTCTTGACAGAGCAGTTCCCCTAAGCTGTGGTAAAACTACATTGGTATTTTTTCCTGTTGCCTCTGGAAGTTGATTGTTCCCATGGCACTGCTGAGCTGAACATTTATGTAGAGCAGTGAGAAGGAAGCAGGGAGATCCCAGCACAAACTGGTCCCACTCCAGCCCCAGCTGGGCCTCAATCACCACCATCTCTGCTCCCTCCAGCACATTCCTCCTGCTAAAGCCTTTCCAGGATCAGCTCAGCACTCAGGAAAAGCAGAACCAAATGACACCAGGGGGAAAAAAAGGAGTTGAATTATTGTGCCTGGGTTTATTTTTAATTTTGTTTAATTTTTTATTTGGAGCTTTACACCACTCAGAGCATCTCTCTGAGGTGAAGAGCCCTCAGAGATGGGCAGAGGAGGGGGTACCCTTTTAAAATGGGTTCAGCTCTTGCTGCCCAAGCATTCTCTGCATGTGTGTGTGTGTTGCTCTAACATTTGCTGCAAAAACACCTCCTTGCCAAACTGACCCCTGCCCCGCGTGCTGCTCGTGGGTGTGAAATGCCTGCAGAATTTCTTACCATTGATGGAGTTTTTTTACACCTCTAAATGCATCCAGAATTCATCTCCAACCCAACTGCCTGCCTGGGTGTGTGTGTGGCAGATTTCTGAGCTGGGCGTGCCAGGGCTGGGTGGGTATTGGGGGTTCGGGGCAGAGCTTTGGGGATGACCTACGAGGAGCTGGGAGAGGAGACACATGCACAGAGCAGCGCCTGAGCACTGGGCTGGGAGCCTGCAGACACTCTGGGGTTTGGGGGACACTTCCCAGGCATGTTGGTGACTGTGGGGAGGGATATCTTGGTGCCCAGGGAGGATGCAAAGGGGTCTGGGTTTTTGGGGACACATCCTGGGCATGCTGGTGGGCGTCCAGGGAGGGTCTGGGTTTTGGGGGACATGTCCCAGGCACGTTGGTGACTGTGGGGAGGGACAGGGTGCATGCCCAGGGAGGGTAGGGGTCTGGGGTTCGGGGGATGTGTCCTGGGCACATTGGTGCTCATGGAGAGGGACAGCCTGGGTGCCCAGGGAGGCTGGGGATCTGAGTTTTGGGGGACATGTCTTGGGTACATTGGTGCTCATGGAGAGGGACAGCCTGGGTGCCCAGGGAGAATGCAAGGGGTCTGGGTTTTGGGGGACACATCCTGGGCACCTTGGTGGGGATGGACAGCCTGGGTGCCCAGGAAGGGTCTGGGTTTTGGGGGACATGTCCCAGGCATGTTGGTGTCCATGGGGAGGCACAGTCTGGGTGCCCAGGGAGTCTGGGGGGGGTCTTTCTTTGGTGTGTGGATGAGCTCACGTGTGCACACACACGGCACCAGGGCCATGTGTGATGAGGGGGCTGCAGGACCCTAGTGGGTCTGGGGGGTGTCAGCAGTGTCTGATGGGTTCTGTGATCTGTGGGGATGGCCCTGGTGGGGACAGGGGGTGCAGGGCATGGGGTGTCCTTTGGGGCTGTGGGCCCTACGTGTGAGAAGCATGATGAGGATCCTGTCAGTGCAGGACCCGACCCCCAGCCCTGATCTCCACTCCACACCTGGGCTGTTCAATGTGGGTTTTGGCATGGTGCAGCCCAGCAGGAGGAACCCAAACATCCTATCCTAGAGCATCCTGAAACTCTGCCAGGAGTCAGCCCTGCCAAGGACAATCCCTCATCTCTGAGTGCCCAGGAGGTGCCTGGGGAATGCTTGAGGGTGCAAAGGGGGCAGAGACTGTGCTTGCCCCCAGTTTCAGCCTAGAAGTGATGCGTTGGGAGGTGATTGGGAGACAATGGAAGAGGTGTCCTGTAGGATGGGACATGGCTCATGTACCCCACAGTAGGAGTGGGACAGTTATGGGAGGGCCTCATGTAACCCACCAGGAAAGCCAGCCTTGCCCTCAGGGATGGGGAGGTGAAGACACAACCCCAGCACAGCCCCATCCATCCCACCTCCCCTCCAGTGTTTCAGGAGCTTACCCTTGCCGCCTTGGACGAGTAGGGATCCTCAAAGAGCGCCCACATCTTGGGCTGCCAGTTCCTGCAGCATCCACCCCCTCCAGCCGCCCCTGCTGCCCCTGGAGGCCTGTCATCCATGCCCAGGCGCTGCAGGGCCATCTCCCTACCCCCTTCCTCTTCAGCCTCCTCTCCAGCAGCCCCTCCGCCAGGCTCGGGACTCTCAAAGATGTCCAGGGCCTCCTCGGCATCGCGGTGCTGCCGGTAGGTCATCCAGCAGCAGGGCTCCACGTCGGTCTCGTCGATGCCCCAGTAGGTGAGCTCCTCCTCGAAGAGGGGCCCGCAGATGTCCGCGGGGCAGTGCAGCTTCCCCGTGCGGTAGTAGTTGAGCACGTAGGAGAAGATGCCCGGGTGCCGGTCGAAGAAGAACTCATTGCTTTTGCCATCAAAGTCAAAGTTGCTCTGGGCGTCGGGGTCTGCCAGCCAGGCCAGGCGGGTGCCTGGCAGAGTCCGCAGGGTGCTCTTGTAGGTCTCATGCCGGGTGCCGCCCACGTTGATGGTGATCTTGTCCGACTCTTCCCCTTTGCCCATCTCTTCCTTCAGGCATGTTTTGGAGGGTGGTTTGTTCCCAGACTTGCGTCCACGGTAGGAGGAGACACACACCGAGCTGATCATAGATTTCGGTGGATGGGAGATGCCCACAACGTGCACCCTTCCTCCGGGCGAGGAGCTGGGGCTCGGCCAAGGCGGGAAGGGGAGGACGGAGACGGGAC